TGATCAGTTTTAAGATAAAACTATAGTCTTTATTTATAATATGTCATTCTTACAAAAACTAATAGGAAGCTTAATTATTCGATTTAGCCCAACGGTACGTCACCACTCCCGAGACGAGTGACGTAGTCCCGTAAAAAATCCCCGCCTGAAGACACGAAGGTAGTCTTTTACATGTGTAAAAATGTTTTTGTAGAGGAAGAACGTTGCGCCGGAACCTTTTTATATTATGTAATTGTTTCTTAGTGAAAGTTTCTCTTTTCCAAGGGTAACCCTCACGAGACTTAGGTGACGTAAGTCCCGTAAAACTCAACTAACCATCAAAACCAAATTCCCTAATACCCGGTCACTCCTCCGGTGGGAACTTATTAAGTTTCACAAGAAATCAACAAACTCCATAACACGTTTAACTGCCCGCATCTACATCAGTTTTTTTCATCCGTGTACCGATAGAACCCCTCTCAACTCGCCCGGTTAGTGGTAAAAGAAGGTTATACTAACCGCTAACGACTGCCACACGTTCCACCTCACTCAAGGTCCGGGACAGAAGTCCTACTGAGACATTCCTCGGGCTACCTCGACAACTCTACAGACCCAGTAGTTGTGGATATTGTATCCCTTAATCATTTTAATGTTTGGTTTATTTAAAATTTACGTCTAAATGAACCCGGCGACTTCCGGGTAAACCCGTCAATTATGTTTTCGAAATTTTATCAATTAAAATACATTGTGTCCTGTCCATTTATCTCAACCCGCAGGACACCCACTTAAATATTTATTACTACTTTTCGATAATGTTTCCGTTCAGAACTTCTCTAGAACCAAAATAGTGGGTCCCTGTCCTTCCGGAGCCCTCCCTGACGACAAGCGAACGGAAATTTAGACATGGGACTTTATCACCAGTCTTTTAAACGAATTGTCTTTGTTCTTTGTCAAAGAAAGGAAGAACTTACGGGTGCTCTAACCGGATAGAGTTCAGTAGTTCTTCGGGTTCTGTTAGGCCTCCAGAGCAAAATTTCTTTCGGAGAGTGTATACACACGGGTCGAGATATTCAAACATGGGTAGTTGTCAAGTAGAACTGACTCTTCAAAAAAGATTTTGTAGTGAGCAAATTGTTAGAAAAAAAAACATCTAAAACCCAGACAGGTTCGACATAACTTGACCCGTAGTGCTCTCGCCCTTAGGAAAAGTTTTATACTCGAGAAAATAGGTCGACACTCTCACTGGACGGTCGTAGTCAGCTAAAAGTCTTGACCAATAAAGAGAACTGCCGTACATTAGAGGGAGTTTTGTCTTAGTGACAGTCCCTGTGGTACTAGTAGTTTTACAGAATTACCCGAATACGTTTTCCCGATGATTATTTTCTGTTAGATATAGTCTAACATGGAGGACATGACGTTACAGTCTATGATCCGGATGATTACCGTTCAACGGACAGTAAAATGCTTAATGGCTCCGATTGTAAAAAGGTCAACTACGAATTTATAGGTCTAAAGTTAAACTCGGAGAAGAGTAAAAGGAGAACTTTTTGCTATCCTAGTACAATTTCTCGGAGTAGAACACCACGTAGAACTCTCTCTAAGTAGACTTACATTCGACGGACGTGGTCGTTACGTCCGAAGTTGAAGAAGAAGAACTCTGATACCAACGAAATGATTAAATACTCGTAATTTCAACTCATGTGTAAGGCGTTTTCCACGTCAAAAGTTTACCTGTAAAAGTGGTAAGGACAAAATTCTACAACCGCGTTTACCACTTCTTTTACTGAAAGACATGGTCCAAGAGTTTTAGCGTTTTTCCTGTTAGCCATATATGTCGAAGCGAGTAGACGTATAGTACCTCACTATAGAAATGACATTTTACTGAAAATTCCGTAATTTACTGAACTTACTTGTGTTCTGTTAGAACATCTCCGTAACCCTTAACCTCACAAGACCGATAACGAGGTACAAATTCGCTATACGACATTATGACTCGGGATAAAAGTCTTCTTTTATTCGTCTGAATGTAACGGGTTACGTCAAAAGTGTGTGGTTTTTTATCTTTTGTGTATTTCAAATTTTGACGTAAGAGGGTTTGATATGTCGTCCAAAGATGTGTTTAAGACTTTGAGTTAAAGTACGTAAGGTCCTGGGTACTGTTTTTATAATCATTATGTGTGAAGATGGTTTGATTTTACGTTTATCCGGAGGTTGATAACAATTTATTACATGATTCGTAATAATTTACAAAAATTCACAAAAAAAAGCAACAATAAATGTTACATCTTTTATAATGTTAGGCGGGTATATATAGTCCATACATCAATTTAACCTGCAAAAACTAACATTAATTTAATTAAGTAATATTACGTGCGAACACAATTTTATAACGTACATTTTTTTGATTTGTACGATTTCACTTTTGTCATCGTTGCGGATTTCCGCCTATCTCTTGCAAGTGTCACCGATTACACCGATTGTCCTTTACCATCGTCGAACGATTACACAGTTGGAATGCTTGTACGAACGAAAACGAAAATGTGTTCAAAAGAAGTTGTATGTAAATAAATTGGCCCTTAATTAAGGTGCGGTATCCGATGTACTCCCGATTGAAAATCGAAATTTCAAATCGAGAAGGAATATCGGAATGGTGCTAAAAATGAATTTGTGCATTTTCAGCACAAGTAGACTGCTATTCTAAAACCTCTGAGTAATGTTGTTATTGCTATCGATTGGGGACTTACTAAAACCGAGTGAAGGCTTGAGACACGTGTTATAAACAATTTTGGTATTTGACCAATTTTGAATGGAGAGTACAGGGTCTGAGAGTGTTACAAAGAAAGAAGGGCGAAGCAAGCAAGGTACTGGGGTACTGCAGCCAGACTGCAGAGACACCGTTTTGTACGCGTACGCCATCAGCGGGTGCCACAAGTTTCTCTCGACGAGGTAGCATGAAATTTCATTGCAATGAAGTTGCTACCTCAATTTATTCAAGAGAGTGTTCCTTTCATCAAAATTGAACAACATACGTCAATTCAATTGTTTATTACATCTTAGTTCACTCAACCTACAGTGAGTAAGAAAAATTCATTCTCCGTGGATAATGTTAAATGTCACATTTTACTAGAATTTCTCGAAAAGATTATTCTCCAACTTGATAAATTAATTGGTTGGTTAATATTTACATAGTCAGTCGTTAAATCTTCGTTAGTCTTACAAAATTATCACCTTCCAGACAAGTTAATGTTCCTGGAGGTGGTAATTTTGAAGAGTCTTTCATCTGGCCTCTGAGAAGCTAGGTAAAAAAAGATGAAGTGTCTGGTGTATCGAACACGAAGTTGTGTTCGGAGACGTTGTGACGATTGTACGTGAGTATTTAGGTGCAATAACTGGTAGATGAGGAGGTGGTCTCAGGGGACTTCTCTCTCTCTCTCTCTCTCCTCTCTCTCTCCTCCTCTCTCTCTCTTCTGCTCTCTCTCGCTCTCACACTCTCTCTCTCTCTCACCTCCTCTCTCTCTTCATGTATTAACCAATTTGTGTACTGAACCCGCCCCTCCCGTAAATGCCCTAATGAGTCGCTTTGATCATTCTACTCCCGGTTCGAAGTGACGGGCCTCGTAGGCGAGCAGGTCCACGCCAACCATGTCTCCCTCCTACGCTCTCCCAACCCCTCTTAGGTACCTCCCCTCGCTACAGGGGCCCCGGTCTCCTACGTGCCCCTGCCGCATGCAGAGCACAACGTTATCTCTC